TCTATCACTTGAATACAGCACTTATTTTTCCTGAGTTATTCAATGAACATCACAGAATCCTCCCTCAGCTATTTCCCACCCAAAGAAAATAACTCCAGTGTCAAACCTGGGAATAATCCTAGCACTCAGGGAGGCCAAGGTGGGAGCATTACTTTAAACCAGCAGTTTGAGAACACACTAAGCAACATAGTGAGACACTGTCTCTACAAAAAACAGAAAAATTAGCGAGGCCTTGTGATAAGTGCTTGCGGTCCCAACTATTTGGGAAGTTAAGGCAACAAAATCACTTAAACCCAGGAGTTTGGGGTTGTAGTGCACTCTAGCCTATGCAACAGAGCAAGATCCTGTGCTTCAAATAAAGAACTTATTCATTTTCTATCTTGACCCCATGTCTCACTCTCATGTTTCCTGAACTATAGTCTCAAACTAGGAGTTAGTGGATTCCATTTAAGTTGTAAATAGATTCCAGTCACTCCCCTGCTTTAAACATTTCAGGAGGTTCCCATGGCCTTAGAATATAACCCAGTGTTATTTCCATGGTTCTGTCCCTCTCCAGTCTACTGTCCACAACTCCTGCTCCTCTTCAGCCAACCCCCTTTCCTCTATGCAAGAAATACAGTAAGCTCAAATTGCAGATGATGTAAACAAATGGAAAAACATAACATGCTCAGGCATCATCAGAATCAACATTGTAAAAATGCCCAAACTACCCAAAGTGACTTACAGATTTAATACAATCCCCATCAAAATGCCAACATCATTTTTTGCAAAGCTAGAAAAAAATAATTCTACACTTTGTTTGGGATCTGAAAAGAGCCCAAGTAGCCAAAGCAAACTTAAGCAAAAAGAACAAATCCAGAGGCATTACTTTACCAGAATTTAAGGTATACTACAAGGCTATAGTAACCAAAATAGCATGGTACTGGCACAAAAATAGAGACATAGACCAATGAAATCGAATTCAGATATAAAACCATCCATGTATTGCCATCTCATTTTTGACAAATCAGACGACAATATATGCTGGGGAAAAAAATCTCTAGTCAATAAATGCTTCTGGGAAAACTGGATAGCCACATGTAGAAGACTGAAATAGAATCAATAGCTCTCACCACTCACAAAAATTAATTCAAGATAGATAATACACTTAAACCTAAGATATGAAACCATTAGAATTCTAGAAGAAAATGTTGGAAAAACTCTTAACAGATGTTGGCCTAGGCAAAGAATTTATAAAGACCCAATGACAATCACAGCAACAACAAAAATAAATAAATGGTACTTAATGAAATTAAAAAGCTTCTGTACAGCCAAGGAAACAATCCACAGAGTGAATATGCAACCTACAGAATGCAGAGAAAATATTCACATGCTATATACCTGATAAAGGGCTGATCACCAGAATCTACAAAAAACTGGAGCAAATTAACAAGAAAAAATTCAAACAACCCCATTAAAAACTGGGCAAAAGAGGCCAGGTGCAGTGGCTCATGCCTGAAATCCTAGCACTCTGGGAAGCCAAGGCAGGTGGATTGCTTGAGCTCAGGAGTTCAAGACTAGACTATGCAAGAGCAAGACCCTGTCTCTACTAAAAATAGAAAAACTAGCTGGGCATTGTGGTGAGTGGCCTAGCTCCTGAGAAGGCTAGGCAGGATGAACACTTGAGCCTAAGCTTGAGGTTGCTATGGGCTTTGATGATGCCATCCTAGGGGAATGGAGTGAGACTTTGTTTCAGAAGAAAAAAAAAATAGTGAGCAAAAGACATGAAGAGAAGCTTTATCAAAAGAAGATAGACTAACAGCCAATAGACAAATGAAAATATGCTCAACATCACTAATCATTAGGGAAATGCAAATCAAACCCACACTGGAATATCATCTTACTCCAGTGAAAATGGCTTGCATCAAAAGATCCCAAACAGACGCTGGCATGGATGCGGTGAGAAAGGAACACTTACTTTGCTGGTGAGACTGCAAACTAGTACAAACTTAATAGAAAATAGTATGGAAATTCTTTAAAGTACTAAAAGTAGACCTACCATTTGATCTAGAAGTCCTACCACTGGGCATTTACTCAAAGGAAAAAAAGCCATTTTGTCAAAAAAGACACTTGCATCAAATATTTATTGCAGCACAATTCACAATTACATTGATGTGCAATTAGCCCAAGTGGCCCATCAATTCACGAGAATATTAATAAAATGTGGTATATGTAACACCATGGAGTTCTACTCAGCTATTAAAATAATGAATTAATTCCTTTTGTAATAATCTAGATGGAACTGGAGACCATTCTCCTTAGTGAAGTATCACAAGAATGGAAAAACAAATACCACATGTACTCAGTACTAAAGTGGAACTAACTGAACCGTTCACATGTGCACGGATGGAAGTAAAGCTCAGTGGAAATCAAGAGGGAAGGGAAGAATTGAAATCATACCTAGTAAGTACAGTGTAATGCACACTTATAACCATGTCTCAGACAGTACAAAAGCAATCTATGTAACCAAAACATTCATACCCCTTGTAATATTCTGAAATATTAAAAAAAAAAAGAAAGAAAGATATTAAGCTCTCTACTGCTGTGAGATTTTTCTGAGAAAGTTCTGGCATCTAAAATGTTCTCACCTATAGTACACCTCCTCATCCTAGCTCAAAGATATAGCTAGCTAAATCCTGCTTGGCTTTTATTCTCTTAAATATCTTAAAATCAACTTTTCCCATTGTGGCTTCCCCCCCTTAGTATTCCATTTTTATGTTCACATAGCAAACTTGCCAATATTCATTTAAAATCCACCTCCCTTTATAAGGAAAGTAAATGTAAGTCCCAGGGTGGCACTATTATGACCATTTTGATGTGGCAAAAAGTGTAGTTCACAACATTAATCCTTTGATTGCAGAGGGCTCAGAAACAAAATGTACCAATTGATACCTGCAGTGATCCCAACAGCCATTAGGACACTCAGAGAAGAGAGCACTAGTGGATGTTCTTTGGTTTCTTACTAAGTTTTTTTTTTTTTTTTTTTTTTGAGTCAAAGTCTCACTTGGTTGCCCTGGGGTTGTGTCAGGGAGTTACTGCTCACAGCAACCTCAAACTTTTGGGCTCAAGTGATCCTCTTGCCTCAGCTTTCTGAGTATCTGGGACTACAAGCATCTGCCACAATACCAGCTATTTTTATAGACATGGTCTACCTCTTGCTCAGAGCTGGTTTCAAACTCATGAGCTCAAGTCATCCACCTGCCTTGGCCTCCCAGAGTGCTAAGATTATAGGACTGAGCCACCAAGCTGCCTCAGTCAAGACTTTGTTTGCAAAATGAACAATGCCTACAGGCATTGTTTTACACCAAACATCTTGCTTAAACACCTAGAGGCATCCTTCGCAGTAAAAAGGTTAATGGACTGGAAAGCTCTTTGGGGATTGTCAGAAAACTTACATTACCACAAAAATGTAATAGTATATACAAAGCACAAATAGAAGGTACACAGAAAGAGAATTTATAATGCAATTAAAAACACTCATATAGATTAGCCCACATCACAAAAATCCCCAAACCAGAGATGTTGGTGTGGATGTGGAGAAAAGGGAACACTTCTACACTGCTGGTGGGAATGCAAACTAATATGTTCCTTTTGGAAAGATGTTTGGAGAACACTTAGAGATCTAAAAATAGACCTGCCATTCTATCCTACAATTCCTCTACTAGGTATATATCCAGAAGACCAAAAATCACATTATAACAAAGATATTTGTACTAGAATGTTTATTGCAGCCTAATTCATAATTGCTAAGCCATGGAAGAAGCCCAAATGCCCATCAACCCACGAATGGATTAATAAATTGTGGTATATGTATACCATGGAATATTATGCAGCCTTAAAAAAAGATGGAGTCTTTACCGCTTACATGTTTACATGGATGGAGCTGGAACATAGTCTTCTTAGCAAAGTATCTCAAGAATGGAAGAAAAAGTATCCAATGTGCTCAGCCCTACTATGAAACCAATTTATAGCTTTCTTATGAAAGCTGTAACCCAATTACAGCCCAAGAAGAAGGGAAAGGGGGAGAAGGAGCGGAGTGGGGAAGGGTGGGTGGAGGGAGAGTAATTGGTGGGACCATACCTATGGTACATCTTACAGGGGTACAAGTAAAATTTACTAAGTGTAGAATATAAATGTCCTAACAAATAACTAGGAAAATGCCCTGAAGGCTATGTTAACCAGTTTGATGAAAATATTTCAAATTGTATATAAAAACAGCACATTGGGTGGCACTTGTGGCTCAGTGGGTAGGGCTCCGGCCCCATATACTAAGGGTGGCAGGTTCAAACCCGACCCTGGCCAAATTGCAACAAAAAAATAGCTGGGTACTGTGGCAGGCGCCTGTAGTCCCAGCTACCCGGCAGGCTGAGGTAAGAGAATTGCCTAAGCCCAGGAGTTGAAGGTTGCTATGAGCTGTGACACCACGGCACTCTACCTAGGGTGATAAACTGAGACTCTGTCTCTACAAAAAGAAAAAAAACAGCACATTGTACCCCATGATTACATTAATGTACACAGCTATGATTTAATAAAAAAAAAACCTCATATAAAATGTCTGCCCACATATAATATAAACCAAAACACTATACTTCTGAAAATATGAATATAGATAAATACTGGTATTCTTTTGAAAACAAGTATCTTGAAGTTCAAACTAAAATCTGTTCCTTACTTTTCTCCAGAATAATTTGTAAACTTTGCAAGTCCATTTAGAAACTGCCAACAGCACAAAATCTATGGAAAGGTATTTATAACATCCAACAAGATTAAAAGTACATTTGCACTCTAACCAAAAGTCCAACCTTAAAAGTTTACCCTGAAAATAAGCCTATAAAAATGTGAAACACCATATACAAAAGCTTACTCACCAAAGATTACTCACAAATGCCAACACAACTGGTAGAAAGGTCAATGGGGATGGTTTCCAAAATACCAACCACATATTACTTTTTTCTAGTTCACATCAGATAAGTAATGTGCAGAAGTTTTAAGAAGGTCTAAGAGAGGTCCATCTCCCACACGAGCATGAAAACCCAACCATCATCCTTGTTTGTACAGTGGTGAGGGATAGAAAAAAAAAAAATCCCAATCATCACACTTACAAAGCACAAAAGGTTATCGTATGTTACCTACTTATTCAAAAGGAAAAGTCTATCTTTAAAACAAGAGTGCTAATGATTCCTACCTTAATTAAGCAAGTACCAAACTTAGCATCACTAATAAAGTAACAATATAAATTTGTCTTCTGATTAAATGTAATTTGAAATACACAAAGTCATCTACAAAATATTTTAGAAATGATCTTTTGAAGCCTCTAGTTCAAGGACTAGAAAACTATAGCTCCCAGAACAGTTTTGGTAATGTTTTACGGAAACAAAGCCATGCCCATCTGTTTACTATGATCTATGGCTGCCTGCCTACTATAAAGACAAAGGTGAGTGTTTCAAGCCCTTAGCACCAGTACAGAATAAAGTACTTGCTATCTAACAGTCCTTTCCAAAGAGTTTTCCAACCTCTGATCTGGACCTACTTATCAGTTTATAGGAAATGAAGGAAACCTTTTAAAGTATATGAAAGGCCAGGCACTGAAATCCCTAAGCACTTTGGAAGACTAAGGCAGGAAGATCCCTTGAGGCCAGGAATTCAAGACCAGTCTGGGCCAAATGGCCAAATCTCCTCTCCACAAAAAATATTTTTAAAAAGTAATCCAGGAGTGGCCAGTGTGCAGTCCCAGCTACTAGGAAGCCTGAGGCAGGAGGACTGCTTGAGCCCAGGAGTTCAAGGATGCAACAGAGCCACTATACCCCAGCATGGGCCACAGAGTGAGATGCTACATCTAAAAAACAAAATAACAAATGAGAAATACCACAATATGTGCCTTTTATCCCCCGTCATCCTGTCACCCAGGCTGGAGTACAATAGCTCACTGATGCCTCAAATTCCTTGGCTCTAGTCATCCTCCCTCTGCAGCCTCCGGAGTTACTGCTGGGATTACAGGAGCACACCACAATCCTCAGCTGCAACAGGTACTTTTCTAAGAGAACATGACTTTTGAAAAAAATCAATATAATGTGGCTCAAGGGAGTAGGGCACCGGCCCCATATGCCGGAGGTGGCAGGTTCAAGCCCAGCCCCTGCCAAAAACTGCAAAA